AATAAAGAAGCAATTAAAATAAACTAAAGAAGAACAGAATCAAGAACTGAACATGTACTTGATATGCAATGGTGTTGTAATATACGAAAAGAGAATTGTAATATCAAGTGTGTTACAGAAACATATATTAAAGGATTTTCATTCTGGACATCTTGGCATTTCAAGAATGAAATCTCTCATGAGAAGTTTTGTATTGGACAAGAATAGACCAAAATAAAAATAGTAAAAGCATGGAGAGGTTGTGCTCTAGCATCAAAACTACCCATCACAAAGATGGGACCTTTGTCAAAGACAGATACTCCGTGGTCAAGATTGTATATAGATTTTGCAGGTTCTATGGATGGAGCATATTATCTAGTGGTAGTTGATAGTTTTACAAAATAGCTGGAAACTTACAAGTGTAAAAATCCTACATCCTCAGTTACAGTGAATTTCTTGCGTGAACTTTTTGTGAGATATGGCATACCAGACACCATAGTATCAGAAAATGGAACACTTTAAAATTTTTTTGATAGTGTACCAGTTAACACATAACTCCAATACACCATCAGGTATGTCAACAGCAAAATTAATGTTTGCCAAGTTGAAAATCACGAATGGTTAGTATAAGCAACACCAATCAATACTTTCAAGGTTGGTGATAAAGTATTCTTTAGTGCATACAAGAATGGAAAGGAAACATGGGAAGATGGCATAATAGCAACTAGAATCAGAAAATTGGTTTATATGGTGAAAGGAAAAAAATTCAAACATAAAAGTCACCAAAATCAGCTGAAAAAAAGATTAATTGATGAAAGACCTGAAGAACGGGTTAAAATGCTGTATGACATTTTTGATGTGCCAGTACCAACAAAGACAAGTTCAAGGAAAAGAAAATGTACAGAAGAACTAGAAGTGGATCTGAGATGGAAATGCTACAAAGTAAAGTATGTTTGTTAACTCTCCAGAAAGAGGAGGGAGGACATACTAATAAATAAATAAAAAAGGAGAGAGAGAGAGAATTTTTTTTTAATAAAGTAGTAATTTCAAAAGGGCGGATGTTGTGGAGTAAAGAGTACACTCCCGGTGGCTGTATTAACTCGTCTAATACTATAAAGAGTTTCATGGTATGAGGTTGCTAGCAGTCATATTAGAGTCAGTTTTCATACTAACTATACAAGCATAATGGCAATAGCCTAAGCATTACATATAGAGGATATATTAAATTATATTATACCAAGTATGAGTATATGTTATAACAATAACCTTACAATAGGAAGTTATAATAGACAAACAGTATGAGGTTTGATTGGCCCAATCCACTCACAGAATCATTGAGGCACTAGATAAGTACATCTCATGGACTATAGCATTAGATATTTCAAAGGACTTTGACAATTTGTCGTAGAAAGGATTGCTGCAGAAGCTCTTTAGCTATGAAATCTTTGGAAGAGTTTTCTCAGTTATAAAGTCCTTCCTAACAGGTAGGTCCCTGAAAGTAGTTAACAGCCAGTCCTCAGGGGCCCAAACAGTCAACACAGGCATCCCTTCTCAGATCAGCCCTCTCTTTACTTTACATAAATGATCTGCCTAAGAGTATGTTCTAATCATTTGTGAATATCTATATTGATTATATAACAGTATATGGGGACACCTTCAAAACTCTAGATGATCAGAGATTAGCTGATAATCTCTCCTCTGACCTAGCTCTAACATCTCAATGGGGAGAAAACTGGCTGGTTATGTTCAATGCCTTGAAAACCAAACTAGTTACATTCCACCATCACCGATCAGACCCCTTATCACAATGAAACCCTCTGCCTTGAGCACCTATTTGGCCTTAAACTCAATCCAGATCTGAAATGGAGCTTGTACATATAATTCATCAGTCGGTGCCCAGTATCACTCCAGTAATTACCTGACCCCTCGTACTATCCTCTACATTTACAAAAGTCAGACCAGGCCTAAAATAGAGCACTGCTGCCACCAGTTCTAACCTTTACAGTTAAGACCCATTATACTATGCACATTGTAGCAAATCACCCTCATTCCCTTTGTATTTCTATTGGGGGGAGGTAAGTTCTACTCGAGCAGTGTCTTCCTGTGAACCATTGTTCTGTTGAACCAACTCCCAAGAGGTTGCCACTCACCCCATCACTAAAATCTTAACCTTTTCAAATCTAGCATTAACTGTTATCTTCCCCACAAACTGTGACACTTACTCTATAACCCTCTACCTCAAGTGGCCTCTTAGTGATATTTACTCTGTACAAAACTGTTTAAAAAAGGAAAAAAAAAAAAAAAAAAAATACACAAGAGATATTGGATGAACATAAACAATAAAAGAAACAGATAAATTAGATAATACATTGAAATATATTTTATGAGGAATGTTCCAAAAGTAATGCTTCCTGTTTGTTTCCATAGAGACTGCAAGATACAGTGAGCACAATAATACTGTTAGAGAGGTTTTTTAGCTACAAAACACTATTTTTCCAGATAATCACTATTTCAACATGTCTACTACCTGCTATGCTCACATCCACTGTTTGGTCTCTATACATTTTCAGCAAACACTGATGAATATCAATAGAAGTAACTTTTTTCCACAGGCTAATTTAATGATTCACATTTGCCTTCTGCACTTTTATGTCAGAGACCATTTTGCCAGATTGCTGCTTATCTGTAACAAGGAGGGAAAATAATAAAAATAATGTTATTGACAGGAAGCTTTAACTTCTGTTATACCGCTAACATCATAAGCCAATATAGAATTGGAAGCATTAATTTTGGAGAAATTCATATCTGAGTATGATGAGCATACAAGCATATTCCTCAGTAATTTACCTTTTATGAAAAGCTACAAATGGTAAAAGATTTCATACAATATTTAGCTGTTCATTCAAAGAATATAAATGAACCAATATTCAAAGACAAAAACCTAAGTTTAAAAATTTCTAATTGACCAGTATAAACCTGCTTGGAAACTGGAGGAAATTTATTACAAAAAAAACAAAAAAAAAACACGTAAGTCATATACATAAAAACTGTCATTTTATTGTACATTGTAGGTGCAGTCACTCATGCATACACAAAACACTTTTTCTTTACATCAGTTTAAATCAACATAGCATACCTTCATTTATACCCTTTTATTCAGAAAACATTACACAAAAGTTAGAAATCTTGGACTATTGAGTCAATTCTTGGTTACACATTATCTTCCAAAACAGTTTCGTTTTGAGTAAAAACAAAACCCTTCATACCATATTACAAAAAAGAACTTTTATGTTTTGACTAGCCTTTGGCTTTTCAGCCTCATTGAAGACAAATCCCAGCAATAAGGTCCATTTAACACTGATTTTTTTTAAACATTATCTGAAATTAAATGTATTGGATATTTTTATTAAAGCAAATTTTACTTTACTTCATTCCTATCAAAATTCATACTCATTTCTGTAACTTTTTTTAAAAAATGTTTAAAATTTTACTACTTCAATTTGTATGTTATGTCATTTTTTTTATTTGTTTTCTATCAGGTTGAATAGCATAAGACTTAATAAAATGTTTTTAAAAATGCCTGTTTATTATATGGTACAAATTGGAAACGGGTCTATAAAACAAATATTTAGTCCAAGAAATGTACGCGGTTTCTTATTTACAAACTTGACAAATTGAATAAGTTACCTTAAAAAAAAAAAAAAAAAAAATCTTAAAAATGTGAATATTTTTAAATGCAGCATTCTTAAAACCCAGGGAACTGAATTACTCTACATATCAGTTGCTATTTTTTTTAACAAGTTTCAACTGGAAGTCTTGGAACAAAATATATATAAACAAAAAAAATCTTTACAGTTAACACTGAAAAGTAAAATTGTTATTTTTTGATAAATTAATGAGGCTTTGTTTTATGCCAACAATAATTTAGTAATGTGTGTGTGTGTGTGTGTGCGTGCGTGTGTGTCTATGCAATGAAAACTTTTTCTATGGAAATTTTTGCACCAACCTTATATATAATTTTCCATTTAACTAAGAACCAGGAATTATGCTTACAGTAAAATATATTTAATACATGCTAATGTAAAAAAAAAAAAAAAAAAAATACAATTTCATATATGCAATTTAGTGAAAACATTCAGTATAATTTATTATTCAAAGTAATTCATTATCCAAGTAAAAATACTATTTATTATTTTTCAATTTACTAATCCTTATAATATTGATTTAATATAACTGAAAAATTACAGACAATTTATTAAAGAATGTAGCACAATTATGTTACTTGGAATATAATAAATGTGTGTATAAGTATCAGATAAAATAAGTTGCTGATTTAAGATCATATTTAATCTCAAATAACATTTAGCATCTTACTGCTTCAGACCTTTTTGCATTGTTTTTTTTCTTCTTTCCTGAAAGAAAAGTGAAATCAATAAAGACCTGAAATGTTCTTAAGTACTGTATTTACTTGCACTCTAAAAATAAAATTGCCAGATTTGTTATTTAAAAGAATGCATAGATAATTGTAATTATTTTTGGATGGTTATCAGAAGGATTAAGTTAAATAACATGAAACTAAGAATTATATTATTGCAAAATATTAAAAAAAAATTAAACAATTTTATACAAAAGAAAAAGTCTGAACACCAGAGTAAAACTGTATCTCTAATACAATTTACTTTGGCATATTTATGATCACATTCCTTACTTTAAAATCAGAATTACAATATTGAACGTAATTATGAAGAAAAACATTTCCAAATATAAAGAAATGTAATGAACCAAATAAAATTTATTTCCTGTAAGTTATTAAATTTAAATAACAAAAGATAAGAAAATAAATTGGACCAGAATCCATCACTCAGGCAGGATGAATCCCAATTTACAGCTTCCAATGTCAGAGATGGTAATGGGTATTGAAGCTATCCAATCAGATGCAACAATGAAAAAGTCATAACAGCCAATAAAAAATTTTTTTAAAAAATGATGAATGATAAGTATTTGGAATGTAGCAGCATGACTTAGAATTCATCATGAGCTTCACGACTTAATCTGCTGTTAGGTTTTGGTGCTGGTTTGATGAAGATACCTTCAGCAGCTTGCCAGGAATTTTTCTCATTAGGATAAGGGTGACCACTGACTTCTCGTTGACCTTGGATGGGGCGGCCATAGACATCTCCATTCACATGCAGAAAACTGCAAACAAAAATATTTCAACTACAAATTCTGATTAAAAAAAAAAAAAAAAAAAAGTAAAATAAATAGAGATAAGATATAATCTATTTAGTCTATATCAGGTATATTTTAATTTTAACGTAAATTTAAAATGAAACAGAAGTTTTTTTTTTATATTCATTTTTTAATACATGTTTTGTTTATCTTTCAAGATGTAATGTTTTATTCTTTATTGTCATGTTGCTCACAGAATAGTTCCATATTTTTAGTTCTTTAGCAAATTTTGTCTTTTGCTAACTTATCTGCTTATGAACTACAACACAACAAATGTAATAATTATGAAACCTTATTAATAATTATTCCTTAAAAGAATCTGACAGTTTATTTTCAGTTTTGAATCATGTGATACAATGAGTTTTCACTAGATTGGCCAGGATACACAAAATCAAGTGGGCTCTATATCTTGTCCTGGCTTTATGACACATGGCAGTAAAGTCTAGATATAAGGAATTCCAAGTAAGCACCTGCTGTCCACAAGGAAAAAGAAAATGAAGCAAATGAATAATTTTGGGGACTAAGTACCACTCAGCTGGAAGGTAAGGAATTCTGATCCATGGGCCTATATAGAGTCACAGTTCAAGTAAGTCAGAAAGAAACCAGTCATTAGGCAGAGATAAGCTTGTTAGCCAGATGTCAAGATGAAAGTCATGGAGGAAATCAGAAATAGTTGCAGTCAGCAATAGAATAGTCAGAGGGAATATGGTAAAAAGTTATCGGTGAAGATGTAGAGTCATGGGCAGTTAAGGTGAAGTTAATTTAGACACAGTTGGAGTTCTCACTAGTCAGAGGGTTGATTGATGTGTTTTGCAGTACATCAACCTAGATGGATCATTTAATACCAAAGGTTTTCAGGTTTGAGTTATTTTCTTTTGGGAGCAGGGGATTATATAAAAGAAAAATTTCTTTTTTTTTTTTTTTTTTCTTGGGAATTGTAGGTTGTATAAAATTGGTTGCAAAAATAATGTAGGTATGCAGGTTTGGTAAAGAGTTTCCTTTTTCTCCCTCCCCCACCATAGAGCCCAATTTTTTTAATTAAATTTATGCTACTTGGATCAGTATTTTCAAATTGGTCCTTTAAGCTATCCAATTTGTTTTATTTGTTTCAAGTTTGCTAAAGTTATGGCAATTTAGTATGTGCTTAGCAGTGTAAGGTTCCAGGCATAGGACACATACTGCCAGCTCCTCATTTTTTTAGTAGATGTTGGTTGGTTGGTTATGTACGTGTGTCCTATACAAAGTTTGGCTAGTACCACCTCTCCTCTCCTTACTTTTCTATAACTTGGCCGACTTCCACTTGGATGTTGTGTAGTGTGTTGTTTTGATAGTTGTTCCATAATTGCTGCCATTTTTTCTTTGATGGTCCTGTTTATAGGGGGTTGTAGGTCAGTGTGTGAAATCTTTATATTTGAGAGGGCCATGTTCAGCAATTCCATTGCCATTTTGTCAGCTTTTCCATTCCCTTGTAGGAGTTAGATACTTGACTATATCATTAACTTTTATATTGAAAATGGAAACTGATAGGATGCTTCCTTGTGGTACTCCCTTTTCTTGGCTATACAAGTCAGAAAGAGTTGCCAACATGGACATTAAAGACGCGCTCTTTAAGGAGATTATTGATGAGGGTTGGTAATGTTCCTATGAGGCCCATTTCGTTTAGGTCTTGCATGATAACATATTGCCATGTGGTACCATAGTCCTTTTCTAAGTAAAAAAAAAAAAAGTATCTAGTTGGACTAACTGGTCTATTGGGCTTTCTGAAGCCAGTCTGAAAGTCTGGAATAATTTTATTTATTTTGAGGAACCAAATTAGTCTGTTAATTATTCTTTCAAGAATTTTACATAGACAACTAGTGAGTGCAATTTCCAAATCTTTGCCAGTCTTTGGGATTGAGATAATGGTTGCAATTCCCCCCCCCCAAAAGACTGAGAATATTGCCACTAATCCATGTTATTGTATATCAAGTAAGTATTTGAGAGAAATTTCTGGCAAATCTTTTAAGAGTTCATAATGGATTTCTTCAGGACTGAATGCTGAGTTGTGCGATTGCTTTAGAGTCTATTACTTCAGATAAAGAGAAAACCTGGTTATAGTCTTCCTAATTGTTTGAATGGAAGCTTTTTCTTCTTGTCTTTTAATATCTTAAATTTGTACACCATAGTTACTTGAAAGTTTTTGGCTAGCAGTTTTGCAATATCTTTGTTGTTTGTGACTTTCATATTATTTTGTGATAAGTGTTCTATAGGGGTATACTTGCTTTTCCAGAGATTTTTCAAATCATAATCCAAATTGTTTTGGCTTTTGTGCTAGTGTTGATGTTGGATATAAATTTCTTCCAAGAGATTTGGTTGGAATTTTTTTATTGTTTTTTTGTGCCTTAGCTCTGTTTATTTTGTAGGAGTTCAGGTTTTCATTTGTTGGATACAGTTTAAATTTGTGAAAAGCAACCTGATGCTGCCTAATGGCTCTCCTGCATTCGTCATCAAACCATGATCTGTTATATTTGAAGGATTTGGGTTTTGATTTTATTGTTAGTAGGGTTTTAGTGAAGTGGGTGAGATAAAGTATAAGTTTGAATAAGCATAAGTTTTTGAAACCTCCCAGTTTGCATTTTTAAGGTTCCAAAAGTTTTCTCATCCAGTAATGGTCCAGAACTTTCTAATTTGGAAATGATCACTGCCGCAGGCATCACTATAGACTTTTCCAACTGTACTCAAGATATGTTATGGGATCACTTAGAGTTAGGTCAGTTGCAATTTGGAATCATTGGGCGGATCATAAATGGAGCATATGGTGATAGTTTTTTTTGAAGAGAAGCTTTTATAGCAACTACTTGTAATGTAGTCTTCAGGGTGTTTTATTTTTTATGAGTACAAAGGCACCACCTGAAGCTCTCTTGCTGCTGTTACAAATGAAGTTGCATGAGGTGTAGTTTTTAATGTTTAGGTTTTCATTTAGGTGAGTTTCTTGTAAACAGATAATAGAAGGGTTAAAGGTTGTGAGGAGTATAAGGAGTTCATTAGAATTTGGCTTTATCCCATGACAGTTCCACTGTATGATTTTGTGATCCATGGTAAAAACGATGGAGTTTATTTGTTTGTACATTCTCAGTGAGGATATCTTCAGTGTCTATTTTGATTTTTGGTAGATTTTCCTCTAGAGGTGGGTAATGGGGAGCTTTCATTTGAACAAGACAGGGGGACTGTCACAGATACTAATCAAGAACAGAGTTACACCAAGCTACCTCACATATATGGTCTCCCTAAGATTCACAAAGACGGTATTCCACTCAGGCCAATTGTTAGTTGACAAGGCTCTGTGTGCCACCCTCCAAGTTGCTTCCTTGTAGATATAATTGACCCATTGATCAGAAAGTCATTCACATATCCGAAACTCCTACCATTTTGTGGAAATAATCAAAGATGCTCCCAACCTATCCAACCAGATGGTGAGCTTGGATGTGGTGAGTTTGTTCACCAAGGTACCCACTGAGGAGGCACTCTCAGTAGTCAGAGACAGATTGACTCATCTCTAGAAGAACAGACTAGTATTCCAATAGATAATCTGATGGAGATGTTGATTTTCTGTACACATACAACACCCTTCGGAATGGGATCACACATATATCGACAGGTTGAGGAGTTAGCAATGGGCTCACCATTATCACCAGCAATGGCGAATATTTACATTGGAATACTTTGAGGAAATGGTATTAGAATCTATATCTCTAAAGCCAACTTTATGATTAAGGTACGTAGATAAAACCTTCATATACTGGCCACACCAGGAAGATGTTCAGGTTCTACTGGACCATGTGAACTCAATAAGACCTTCAATACAGTTCACGATGGCAAAAGAGAGTAACAACACACTCCCATTCCTGGATGTTCTAATATCTCGAACAGAACATGGGTTCAAGATATACGTGTAAACCGACATTCACCAGACAGTACCTCAATTTCAACTCCCACCATCCATACAGCATAAAGAAAAGGATCATCCACTGCTTACAACACCGAGCAAAAGTCATAAGTGGTGACCCAGAGACATTAGATAAAGAATTGGTCAGTATAAGTAGCACCCTACAATGTAACAACTACCCTGGGTACATAGCAGCAGCCCCAAAAAACTGGGACAGGCAGGTACAAGAGAAGGACAACACTCAGAAAACAGTCTGCCTGCTTTATGTGAAGGGGTTATCAGAGAAAATACAAAGGATCTGTGCTCCATATAACATCAGGACAACCTTCAAAAGCTGGACGACACTTCACAGATATCTATCCAGAGTAAGACCCCCTCCCCATAGAGGAGAACATGACTAAAGACTGTGTGTATGCTAACCCGTGCAGCTGTGGACAGAAATATAGAGGGGAGACAGGCCGCCCCCTTAAAGTAAGGCTTCAAGAACACCAGAAAGCTGTAACACAAGGGGAAGTGAAAAAATCAGGTGTGTCTCATGGAGAGAGAAGGGAGATCACTGCCCTCTGTGGGATCAGGTTGAGATGATAGACAAGAACACCATTGGAAAATTTATAAACTTAAGGAATCAGCCCATATGCTAGGCCACAAAAATCTCCTGAGCCAACCAAACATAAAAATGAATACAATATGGGAACCAGTAATAAGGAGTGCCAGAGAAAAGTGATAACAAAAATTGCAATATGAGCTCTGGTAAAAACATGAAATGATAACAGCAAAAACTGCAATATGAGCACTAGTGAAAATGGTTGCTGAAGACATTAGGTTTATAATACCCAGAAATTCATACACAGATGTTCTCAAGGACACATAGCACAGTGGATAAAGGTGTTAGTTAAACCCAGTGACAGGACCCAAAGAGTGTGAGTTCAATACCTGGTTAAGGAGAACTTGGAGAGGGGAATTAACAGGAGATAACTGATAACTAACATCCACTAAACATGGCACATGGAACAACCCCAGTGAGTCAAATAAAGGGCTCAGTTTGACATTCCAACCACCTGAAGAAGGCCGGAGTGTACAATGGCTGAAATGTTGTAATAAATATGGCGAAAAAGATGAGGACAATAGTCCCAATAAGGTAAGATGGGTGAAATTTGTGCTTTTTTTTCTTTCTTTTTTTTTTTTAAAAAACTTGTATTTCTACATTTAGTGACCTGGTGTTCTTAGGTTGGTGGCTTCAGCTTAATAGATGAGGGTACATTTTCATTATTGTTTTTCATTTTTTCCTTTGATGTTCAGCTTGTGAGAGCTTTTTAATGGTAAGTCTTCAGGTTTGTCTAGGGTTACTCTTATTTTTTTTATAATATTGATTGTTGATTAGGTTTGTACTATCCTGCATGCTTCAATGAAGGAAATTTTTCCATGTATATTTAATTGAAAGAATTTCTTTTTCTCTTTTCCATTTCTTTATACATATTTATTGAATATATATAAAATTACCATTTCAATTTGCAAACAAAGTAATAAATCCTGGTAAAAATATTGGTTTTTTGGGGTTTTTGCACCCAAAATTTTTAGAATAAAATTCATTTTTGAGTAATTTGTTTTCATGGTGTCCAAATTTCAAAAATTAAACAAGCATCTCAGGGATTTTGGGGACATTGTGATAATATAATTGTTGATAGTTTGGTCATCTCTTCTGAGTGACTATAGATTTTTTCTTTTAATTTTTTTAGAATTTTGATTCTTCATTCCCTCTCAATTTCATCTATTGTACAAAGGGAGAGTTCTTGACTTTTTTTTTTTTTGATAAATTCAGTGTTTGATAAATGTGTTAAAACGGATTGTGTGTAAATATTGAAAATAATGTTTTTTTTTAAATTTTTTTTAATAAAATGCAAGTCCTTTTTTGTTCAACCTCAACAAGAATTCTTCAATTTTTTTTTTTTAATTTAACTGTTTATGGTACAATATTTGCTGAAATGATCTTTACAATTACAAAAGGGGATAAGTTTGTAATTGGAATGTTCTCAAAGTATTCCAAGATTATAAATCCTGATAATACCAAGGCCTCTATATCATCATTTTCAGAGCGTGACCCTTGGTGCAGTCATTTGACAGTTTTTTTGTACTTTTTTTTTCTTTCTTTTTTTTCAATATCTATGATTTTTTTTTTTTTTTTTTAGTTCATTAGCTGTGCCCACCACCCACCATGAAGCACTACAAGAGGAAATCCATTCACCTTTGCGGTAAAAATCAGGGCAAACAGAACCAGTAAAAATCACACTGGATTTTTAACCATGTACTTTGTATCTATTGTTTTCATTCCCAAGATAATTAGTCACCCATCAAATACTCTGAAATAGTCAGTCATTTTCTTTTTTCTGATTCAAATAATTTTTTACAAAGTAAGGTTTGCAAAACTGACCAGCCAGTTAATTGGATTGGGCCTCTCAGACCACCTGTCTAGCCCAAGTAACGACCAAAGCGGTGTATTGGGATTCAAGACTTTTGCTTTTTAAGTTGTCTAAGCATACTCCTGAAGCCCTCAACCACCAAGATCTCATCATTACAGGTTGCCACCCATGGCAAACAGGTGGCCTCATAAGGGATGTGTACCTCTATGCAGAGGTGCAGTTGATGTATTCTGAAGCCCTGGTCAACAAGGCAGCACTAGCCAAAGTGAAGACCTGGTCTGTTACTCTGTCATGAGAGAATACAGAAGTAGCAATGAAGATGTCCCAAGTGTTACTCACCTATGCACCACACAGGGCCAGGTGGATTTGTAAATAAAAAAACATTGAAAACAGGATTTATATTTTCTCATTGTGGCATGATTTTACCTTCTCTTCACACTGATAAGTGAGAATTGAAAGCGGAAGAAAGCACAAGTGTAAAACTTAACTTTTTACTCTAAAGATTAAAAAAATTCTGCATCCCCAGTTTTTGCATGTAATTTATATGGTGAAGTCAGTCAAATAAAAATTTGAGCTTTTAGGAAACAAAAGAACAATAAGGATGGATAGATAAATAAACATACAGATAGGCAGACAAATAGATATATCTCTCATTTTACCTCATGCAAGGTAGTAAAGCTACTAAGACACAAGGGGTTACTGAGTGTGAAAGAATAAGAAAAAGAGAAGCAATATTAATGAGTGAAAAAAAATAGAAGAATAATGTTTTGCCCATAAATTCTCTTCAAACTCTACTCTTGACTCATTTGGAGTATCATTGCCCAACTTATACTTAGAACTAAAATTGTAATGCATTAAATCATTTTTAATTTATCCCTTAATTTGATATTAACTATTGTGGCAAAAAACTTTCAGTTTCTTCAGAAAACAGAGCTACAATCTATTTTACATGCATTATATCCAACTTCTTGAGTAAGATCTGTAGGCAAATAAATCATTGTTATAATGAGAAATTAAATTATTAAAATTAAACACGGACACACAAACTACTGACAGTAGATGGGTAAACAAAAATTCAAAACAACAAATATATATATATATATATATATATACATACACACACACATATACATTAAAAAAAAAATTTCCTATTTTCCCCAAATCAATTTCAACAAACTTACTTTCCTGTCACTACATTTTTCAGACGGACTGACTCAACACGTGACCAGTTTCCACTGTTGCATACCACAACCCAGTCATCACCTACAATAAAATAAATTAAAAAAAAAAAACAAATCTATTTACAGTGTAAGTACTCAGATGGAATGGGAATGTGCAGTTACCAATTTAGGTAAAGTGTGTTGAAGATATTTGAGCAAACAAACATTACCCAGGGCTAGTTTATATAAAGGAATTGTAAAATTAAACATTCTGCAGAATACAATATAAATTGTGTTTATGAATAAATGTGACATCAAAGGTTTTTTAGATTTATTTCTTGCGAAATCATTTTTTAGTCAAACTATAATCTGAGGTAAAATTAAATAGATTCTTGTTAATTTACTGAAGCTGACAATACTGAATAATTTGTTCTATTTTTTAAATATTACTTTATGATTACCTTTATCAAAATTTATCAGTTTTTTGTTTGTTTTTTTAAAAGAGATATAGCAGGAACAAATCAAATAAAAGTGCAACTAGAATTTTTTCATCTCCAAGATTAATTTTATCATTTACTTGCAATACTTTTTTTGTTTGTAGAAAGAATTTTGACAACTCATTTTAAAATGAATTGTCTAACAGTTCTAAGAATACATTTACTATTTTTAAAAACATTCTTATGTGAACAGATTAAACATTGTCCCAGTTTCCTATAAAACTGGAATAACTTGTAAACTGACTACTACAAAACACTGCTATTTTGAGTTCAGTCACTGAATAGATTCTGACAAAATCTACTGTATGACATTAGTACATATAAAACAATGACTATAAAAACAGTCTGTAGTTGTTAGACTGTCATTTAAAATTACCAACACTTAGTTAACAATAATGGATTATTTATAAAAGCAGCTAACAAAACAATCTATGAGGAGGGTGCTGAGAAATTCTCAGCCTTACCTATTAAAAAAAAAAAAAAAAAAAAATCGAGGGGGGGGGCTTCTTTTCAGCACCCCCATCCTTTATTGTACCCAGTCAAACAAATAATTGAAGACATATAAAATGGAACAAGTTCAATGTTATTTTGAAATTCTATTTGAACAGTGGCTCCATACTTCATGCAATGTATGTATAACATCAAAAAATAAATTTATATAAATATATATATATATATATATATATATATATATATATATATATATATATATATATATATATCTCAACACTCACAGACAACAGGCTGTTTCATGCTAGGTACAATCGTCAGGCCACAAATGTTGGATTTTTCGACTATTTATATATATGGATCAGTGGTGCATTGTGGGTAATCAATTCTGGCAGTTATTTTTGCAGGAGTGGCTTGTTTATTTGTTTGGGTTAATTTGTTTTTCATTTTCACTTTGTATTATTTATTCTTTTTGATTTTTGATGTTTTATTAATGTAGTAAAAAAAATTGGGAGTGGGGATTTGCTTAGTTCGCTTACTTAATAGTTAGTCTTGGTATGGGAAGATAAAGCTATTTATTTGTTAAATATCTAGATTGCTTACCGTAGTCTATTCTGTTGTATTGGCAGGGAGAGGGGACAGTTTTTATTTATTTGGATTTATTGTTTTTACTTGTTTATGCATATTTTCATTAGTTTTAACGGTTATTTTAGTGGAGACGATTTGTTAATTTGTTCATTAATTTATCTTATTTGGATTAATTTTTATTTATTTATTTATTTTTTATTTTGTATATTTTTATTTACACTCTTTGGTTTTCGATTTTTGAGTAACGTATTAATGTTTTTTTATTGTTATATAATAGTTACTTTTACGTCCAATTTTTGGATTGGTTGTTGTAGTCTATGCTAACAGTTATTTTGGTGGGATTGGTTTGTTAATTTGTTTATTATTTTACTTTATTTATTTATTTGGGGTGATTATTTTTACTTGTTTTTTATGTATTTTTTATTTGTTCTATTTTGTCGACACACTTGGAAAGCATTGTGCTGTTCGCGTAAATTAAAAAAACAAAACACAAATCACACCAAAAATATCATGGAAAGAATAAATAATACAAAATGAAAAACAAATAAATTAACCCAAACAAATAAATAAACAAACAAGCCACTCCTGCAAAAATAACCACCAGAATAGATTAACCACAATGCACCACTGGCCCATATATATAGTTGAGAAAAAATTCATGGCCTGACGATTGTACCTAGCATGAAACAGCCTGTTGCCTCTGAGTGTTGACTTCAATGTTCACTATATATATATATATATATATATATATATATATATATATATATATATATATATATAAATCTTTAAAACAAATAAAATATTGACTAGAAAGGGTTTGAAACCAGAAGAGACAAAAATGGAATAAAAATTAGTGAAAAAGAAATTAGCCTTACCTGCATCACCAACCCCATCTTCACCAAATGCACTGACTTCTAAATTATTTGATAAAGGAGATCGGAAATGGTGTCCATGGAGATTCTTTCTTGTAGCCAAATGCATCAGCTGAATGGTCTGCTCACATTTTATAGGTGTTCTACATTGCAGGCAGAAAAGGTTTTGTTAAAATATCTTTTACAGCTTTTCAACAAGTGTAAATGTTTTTGTTTTCTTTTTGTCATATGAGACTTTTCAAAATATAAGTGAGTTTCATGAATTAGTTACCATTGAAATAACATATATATATCAACTGATATTGGTAAAATTTTCTAGATATACTTTCATAAAAAACCAAAAAACACTAGAGCAAACAACAGATCTCTAGTTGCCTAGATAGGCAAGCATTGCTTGATATGCAGTGATTGATAACAGATAAGTAGCAGGTATCTACAATGGCATGGATCAACCACTTCTAGTTAGATGAATACTGCAGTTGTTACCATTAATACTGAATCATACTTACAATGTAAATGTGAAAGCAACCGAAAAACAGCATGAGTAAATCAAATTTTTCATACCATATCGCCCATTGCATGATTATGAGAGACAGAAGAATGGAAGAAACTAGTCAATGGTTTTTGAGTTTGGTCAAAATCTCTCATTATAAGCAATATATCATGCAAATTCCAGCTTATAATATCTATCCTTATCAAAAATAAGGAATCATTTTGGGTGTGCCAGGTTTTATTATATAAACTGTTTCTTGCAGTTTTTATTGATTCCTAGATAACTTTGTTGATTGAATATTGATTCAATTTTCATATACACAATTAAAAAATAAATATCAATAACTATACTTTATACTGTACTTATATTGAGATAAATCTATCAAATAATTCTTTTTTGATCTATTGAATGACTGTACTATTATATATATTTATTCTGAATATGAAGAACAACCCACAAGTTGCATAATTTCACATCACCAAATAAGTTACTGTAAATATTTCTAATAAAAACATGAGAATCTGAAATTCATGTGGAAAGTTTTGCCAACATTAGCTGGTTAATACCAATTTTATTGTGAACATAATGATGCATAATAAAATATGACAGTGTAGTTTGGACAATACTTGTATTAGAGAATAAATATGGAGCAAATGTTTTACTTTAAGTTGGCTTTTGATATGAAATTTGGAAGGTACAGTTAATTTCTGGAAGTGTATAAACAAATCTCAGTCTTTGTTCTAAATAACCATAAATCTAATGAATATGAAATCTGACACCTGTACAACTTCAGCACTGTAGATTTCACAATTATACACGAACAAATGTCATTGAATAAGATCAATAAAAGATTTCCCCCCATAATCTACATGCTTGTTCGTTGGTTCATACCCACCCCATTCTCAATCAAAAGAATTCAGATTCATTTTATTTGACACAAAGTTTTAAACCCAAGGCAACAAACTTATAAGTCAAATTTACTTAGCATTGGCAAATTAATACGGCATGTTTTCAACAATAAATATTAAGTTATAGTTAAATAATCTAAGATTATTCACTGCTGTTTTGAATTCAAAGCTGGATTTTTTCAAGGACATAAGTGCAAAGGAAAATTCATCAATTCAATTTTTCCAATTGATGGTAAATGTTGCACCACCGTCTGACTGATTCCAAACTTGTAAGACATAAACTATTTCCTTTTTGGTAGATCCTCCTGCTAAAAAGGCTGCCAGTTGTGAAGTTGCATCACATGACAGAAAAAAAAAAAAAAAATCACCTTGGAAGGTGACAGAGTGGGGCTGTCCTTGTGCAACAAACCTCCTCCTTTAAAAACATTATCGTATAAGTTGCTCATAAATCTATCCTGCACAGCTAGACACACTGGAATGAAGGTCAACCAAGGCCTGAATTCAAATAATTATCACTGAATAATAAATATTGTATAACCTGGTGTAAAAGTCAACCACTAAAATTCTGAAATGTTAATTAAAGTCTAAGTCTTTGCAACAATTCAAATAAAGTAGCACTACTTCCAGACTATCAAGTTTAGAGAATTTAAATAGACAAGTTTTTAATGATTAAAATGTTTTTATGCTAACATCTACAATTGTTTCTCATGAAAAGCTTTATGAACTTGTTTATTTTAGTTCAATACCTTTCTTAAAGATTCTAAAGATTGGGGATGATTGTTTTCCTCTAGATATCATATCTCAATGCCTGAAATCTGGTCATGTTCTTTGTTACTGGGTGGAGAGGAATATGGAGTGGCTAAGCACATTTCATGGAAAATATTTTTATCAAGAAATCCAGTAAAAGACTAATAACAGTTATCAAAGCAGTTAAACAACATCCAAACATCACAAAAGAAATTTCCAAAGTTTTTTTTTTTTTTAATTAATTGCCTTTTGCATCCATATTACCTTCAATGTGTCATTTAAGATGAATAATTCAGATTCTATAATTATTTGTATGGACACATGGAAGTTAAATATCTTTACTAAGTCAACAGAAGATCAGAGAATTTTAACATGAACAGTATTCTAAAATTTTTAATTTATAGAAAATTACAATCCGAGTTCAAAACATGAATGCACAAATTTAATTACCCTCGAAAACATGAGGTTCCAGGTTTGGGTCGCACCTGCCAATAACTGTTATGATCATCAGATGATTCTACTGCTGTCACTGACTGGAATGAAAATAATAGAGAACAAACATTCAAATAGCGGCAATAACTAGTTCCAAAGGAGAAAATTGTGCATATAAAAAGAAAATACTTGCTTTTTCAGAAAGACCAAGTAATCATGACAAGAACTATCTATACAGAAACTTAATTTCTGTAGATTACCAGCTGGAGTAAAATTTGCGATTTATCTGAGTACTTTTATTTTGTATTCATAAGCTTGGCCACCCAAGATTTCCTATGTAAGCAAGCCTAGAAGAGTAATATTTTAGACATTTTTTTTAATACTTTCCTGGTTTAGTTTTTCTCCAAGACCACAAATTTTTGAATGTCTTTGCAGCTACTTTAAAAACAAAGCCACCGAACTATACAAGGCAAGTGTAAAAGCAAAAGTTTATAACTGCAAAAATAAAAACAGGAACAAACTCAATTTCAAATAAAAAGCTCAATCATTAGAGCATGGACAAAAATCCACAATATGTACAATTCTAATTTCAATAAATCAATGTATCATGTTTTTTTTTTAAACTTCCAAGTGAGATCAAAATTCAATCTAGTTTAACCCCTTTTGTAAAGATCTAAAACAAAAAATTCTATCAATGCGTCAGAATTCACTCATCAAAAGTATGAGGGTCAGCAATATCTTCATTACTTTCATGATGAATAATAATGGATGATACTGTTTCCATTTTCACCAATCCTTTTGTTCCCAGGGAATAACAGTGCTATACTACAATTGCAATTTTTAGACTAAGAAAACTGAAAGAATATGGGACATTCAGATACTAATTGTAGATTAAGCATTTCGAAAACTTTTATGCAAATTTCAATGATTCAAAATGTACAACTTACTTGTTGTCCACTGCCAGAACCATATTTGATGTTATGTGAGTGTAACCGCACATTATGAAAGTGATTCAGGAGTTTTAAGACTGTTCCACAAGTGACAAATTCATAGTCAAATTCTATATATAAAAAAAAAGAAAAAAATAGGGATGAAAGAATACAAAGCATGTGAAATTTTATGGTATATAGCTATAATTGCAGAAGTTATTTTTCATCTCTTTTCTTGATGAAATAAAAAATGTCAAGGCAAATGACAAGTTTTGGGTTACTAAATAGTTTCTTGTTTGTGTAGTATCAGAAGGCATTTTGTTTAAACTAACTCCATTAAAAACAAAAACAAAAAAAAATCACTTTATTGTACTGTCATAGCTGTCATTTCAGCAGACATTTTTTTTTAAAATTGGTTTATTTTTATTTATCAATTCTAATATTAAAGGTTGAAGAATATAAGCAAGATTTTCAGCAGATTATGCCTTTTTTGAGAGTGGTAAAAATGCAAAAACATTTGTAAAGTTTATAATAAAGTTACTATAATGTTCAAGTATTACCAATCGAGGTTGATTGTGATTATGTTATATGAGACAGAAGATAACAACATACTCAAAATGTCCAAACCAAGCACTGAGAATCATCTGCACCAACTTGATTATATTATTTACTTACATGTAAATTTCACCTATGTCAATAGAAAAGAAACCAACAAACCTACTGGCCAATGTTTTATGGTATGATTTTATAAAGAAACAAGTTGTGATAGTAATAAAAAGTGAATTAGAGCCCCCAATTTCCCATTTCAAAAAAAAGTAACATGACTATACAATAAAACAATGGAATGTAACTGCGCATAATTATCTTTGAAGTAGAACTTTTAATCAGAGCTTCCTTCTTTAAGAACACATTCAAATTGTTTTTGTCTTTTTAAGTAAAAGGATTTTAATTTGGAATGCAAGAGGTTGTGGGGGCAATCATTAATATCCATACCAAATGCTAGTCTTCATTCAAATGAAGTTATGCAGTATAAATAGTATTCCAGAGAACTATACAATTGATTTGAATAAGTCCTGTTCCCAATTAGAGTAACTGAAGACAGTAATCAACAAAAACATTCAGAATAAAGGTACAATATTCAAGGATGATAATTATAGTGTACATTTCTTTGATAACCAGGCAAAAGAATTATCAGTTTTGATTTCTCTACTGTAAAAAAAATTAAATTTCTTAAAAACAAAACAAAACAAAAAAAAAAACTGCAAAATGCACCTAAAACAGTTCTTTGCCGAGAAAGATCAATTATGATTATATTAAAGTTGCCTGAAAGATGTCGGAAGATACGAGAACAATTTGGTAATGTTCAATTAGTTTTAAAAAATACATTTGTCTTATTTAACATAATTAACATCATAATTCATAATAAAATACCACTGCTTTGATAATTTTAAAAATATTTTATTTGTATTCAGTTTTTTAATTTTTTATATCTGATATTTTATAAAGGAATTAACATTATTTAAGATGATCAATTACTAGATTTATGAAGCAAGAAAAAAAAATCATATAAATTACATAAACTGTAAATATTTTAAGGCTATGCATAATTATTAAATTCCAAGGACTTAAATAATTTTTTTGAGTTATCTAAACTAGATTATCAATTCTACTGTACCTCAATTACTTGGTATATAGACACAATGTCAGCAATAAAAAGTGCCTGGTTATTAATTTATCAATATTCCCAGAGATAAAGGAAAACGTACTGCCTTAAACTAAACAAGTTTTATGGTTACAAAACCATATTTCACTTATGAAATGAAAGCAAGGCAAAAGTAACAGAAATGATTATCTTTCCTAATGCTTTATAATAACTAAGCTTGTCTGAATTTGAGAGGTCTGTCAGTATCACCCTTTTTTAAGTATAACTCTAGGTATTGAATCATGAAAATGCTTTATTATACAATGAATCTATAATAAAAATTGAAAACTGAGCTTAAGCTATCAAAATTATGGTAAGCTTAATAGTTTACTGATCTGTACATAAAAGGGGCCCAATTTTATTTAAAGCTTAATATAAATTGTAAAAAAAAGCAAAAATCTCATCTGCACAACTAAAAAGTTTTACTATTTACATTATTCAGATTATTGTCTGAATCTTTGTCACCATATTTATTACAACATTTCGGCCGTTGTACACTTCGGCCTTCTTCAGGTGGTTGTAATGTCGAACTGAACCCTTTATTTCGCTTGCTGGGGTACTGTTCTAGTTCCACATCCCATGTCTAATGGATGTCAGTTATCTCCTGTTAATTTCCTTCTCCAAGTTCTCCACCGCCTTAACCAGGTATTGAACTCACTCTTTGGGTCCTGTCACTGGACCTAACTAACGCCTTTATCCACTGTGCCATGTTAGCACATGGTGTTAGTTAATAACAATAATAACAGTAATACCTCATCTCAGAAATATAGACATAAAAAGTTTTAGATTTGTATAATTTATCATAATTAATGACTTTTTTTTTAATTAGTTCACAGAATCACACTTAAAACTTAAGTTGAACAAGCTCAATATTTAAAAAATTTAGTGCAGCCCCCACCTTTTTTAATGAGGAATCATTATTGGCCAATTTGTCTGTAATTTCATCATAACAATCAAAAGTTCAGATTATTAAAAAGTTATACGGTGGAAAATGAAATCCAAGAAATTTAATTTGAATGTACCATTGTGACACATTTATAGTACAGAAGTGTAATGTTTTTTTGTTTTTATTTATCAAAATAATGTTGAAATTGCATTTTTTTTGTTTTGTCCAATTTTTCAAATTCTAGAAGTTTATTGAAAATCAATTGTTCTATTGTTTTGTGTTGGAGTTGCTTACAGTGATTTTACCACCTCACAAAATGGTCTGTCAACAGGACAAGCAAAAACGACGGGAGCTATAAATAATATTTTATTACTAGAGACTAGAGGATAAAAATACAAATTTTTAAAAATAAGTGCTAGTCTGTTAGTGTTAGAAAAGAGAAATTGTAAAAATAAATCTCTAATTCAACAAAAGAAAGAAAGAAAAGCAAATATTTCCTAGGTTTTTAAACACGAATTCTTTTCAAAAAATAAAATAAAATGAAAATGTCAATTTAAAATGTTTTTTAATAATGTTTTCTTTCAGTACCACACGAATATAAAGAAATTAAATTGAGTTATTTGATTTTGAAAAATAAAAAAAATTATTGCAGTTTCCTTACATTATTGTAATTAATAATAAACAATGCATTCTTGTTGTTTAAAACAAAAATTAAATCATTTCGTTTTGTTTTCCAGTATTCAATTTTAATGATAGTGTTTTTAAAATAAATGAATGGAGAATTAAAAAAAAAAAAAAAGACAAACGAAATTTTTTAAGTAAAATTAAACATTTAAGCATAAATTTTTGTGCTATTCCTTTTTCACGTGTGCCATCTTAATTAAATAACAAGGCTTTCTATCGTCTTTAAAAAATACAATTTGTAAACACTTAGACTAGACATTCGTTAGCTAGCTCAAATAAAACTTTTTAGTTTTTAATGACGATGAATGTGAAAAAAAGCACTAAAAACAAATATTTAAAAATCCTAACAGCAACAATAATTATAATTTTTTCAATACTAAATAATTTAAGAATGAAATAAAAGTATTTCTTTCAAAAATAAAATCTAGGTTGAGGTTCGATTATGAAATAAAAAAAGGAAACTGATATTTTTAGATTGCCTTTTTTTTTTAACAATAATAAACTAAAAAAACATGTGTTACTTACTTTCTGCAAAAGTTTTCGAAGTTGTAAGTAAACTGAGAAGTGTCAAAAAAGCAAATGAAATAATGAACGACTGCATGACGGCTCCAACAAGTTAAAATATTGCAAAACCTATCGATATTTTTTTGCCAACACTTCAACAAGACAGTAAAACCTGAAATCGTTTCTCTTATCGACACGTCGAGATTCTGATACACGCCGGTAACTCTTCTTTGTTTCTAAATACTGGAGAGTTCCATAGTGATAGCCTCTAAAAATTGATGTTATTCTCTTTACTTTAAGAACTTAATTTAGTCTTTTTTTTTTTTTTGTAGTTTTTATTCAGCTCATAAAAATAAGTTTATTATCGAAATAATGAGAAAGTGAAAGTACAAACTGTAATTTTGACTGTATTGTAACAATAGTATAATGTTTATCTTATAAAATAATGCGGATTAGTCAGGCAATACTTCAACAGTCAACACTAATCCTTCCAAATTTCATAGACAAAAAAAATATTCAATGATATTGTCACCGATGCCAGGAAAATAAATTAATACAAAAAATACCTCGTATATTATATCTAAGAATATGAGTTAATAATAAAAGTCTTTACAAATTTTAAAAAATTGCGCATAAGAGAATAAAAAATCTAGATAACTGTTTTTTAAGAAAAACTTAGACAAGTTTTTATTTTTTATTTTTTTTAGATGACTTAATTTTATTAGTTTGTTAACTGCCTACTGACAGAGAAACTACTTTTTCTCAATTGTACTTTTGTCTTCGGATAGTTCACAAAAAAAAAGTAAGGGGAAGGGGTGTCTGTTCCCAGAGATTCCAAACCGGCGGCAACACCTCCCTCACTGCAACAATGAGGTTTGGGGTGTCAGTGAAATATTGACACCAGTATGACAGTGGTCGCGGGGACGGGGCACGTTTTGGTCTTGGCCCATGTATCACCCCCACATTGAAATGGCCATGTGCCATATCCCTCCACTGGAGTAAAACATTAAACTGGTTACTCCCTTGATCTTTTTCCAAGATTTTTATTATTTTAGTTATATTTTTTAAATTATAGAAGTAATAAACAGATTTTATATTTTTAAAATGCTTTTTTATTTATAGAATAATGCTTTCAATACAAAATTCAAATTGAATACACCAACCAAATATAAAAAAATTTTTTTAGGCTTTAAAATATCATTTCAATGAACAGTTAATTTTTAGAGATAACTTAAATCAGAACCAAAAGTTAAGCTAAATTCTTTTGATAATTTCAAAATCTGGCATACTTTGCAAAAGAAAAACTAATTTAAATTATTTTCCTAAGAATAACCTTACAAAATTATTGTATCAAACTCTACTTGACAAAAATAAAGGTTTTTTTTAAAAGTAAAAAATAATAGACACTCTAGTCTGCAATTTAACTTTAGCCATATTAAGTGAGAGAAAATAGAGACTGGAATATGTAGGAAAATTAAATAAAATTAATACATAAAATAATAATAATAATAATGAATAATAATAATAATGAATAATAAAAAAATGCATTTTCCCATTATGCCAAGAGTAATGGAAGTGAAAATATGATTACCCCACTTTGCTTCATAAAATGCTGTTAAGTGGTGCTGTTGAAGTCTATATAAAGACAAACATTTTCCTGCCTCACTCTCTTTCTCCTCTTTGCTCCAAGATGTAGAATCATGTAATAATTATGTTCCTACTGGCAAATGTTAATTTTCTCAATCCACTGAAAAATGAACTCTCTTTTCATTTTCCAATGCATTGCACTTGAATGTGTCTTCCAAAAATCTCTACCTATGAAAAGTCAAACTTTCTCTTTGGTTGTTCCAACTCAGCACAAGGCTGACTTGAGCATAATCATTGTAACAATGTTTATACTTACTTACCCTAACTTCTGGACCAAAAAAAAGAAAATGGACATCCCATAACCATGTTTAAACCGCCCAATGATAAAGCAAGTACAAACTCTCCTTTGGTTGTTCCATCTTCATGCAAGGCTGACTTAAGCCTGACCATTAATACAATGCTTATACTTACTTACCCTAACTCCTGGACCAAAAAGAATACAGACATACCCAAGAGAAATTAAGAACATTGTTTCACTACAGTCACCATAAAAAGAATAAACCGTCCATAGCAGAAACCCAAGCTTTGTATGCTTCTATCTTTAAGTGTTCACATCTGAACATATACGCCAAATATAAAGAACACAAACATGCAACTTTTTAACCTCTCCATAAATACACATGCTGTCATTCTGATTGTTATATTAAGCATATGGTGGCAGAACAAAGAAAAAACAGGGTTTTAAGAAATTGTATTATTAACAATTGTGTTAACGTAAAAATACAACAAATGGTAAATTGGTGTAAATGTCTCTTATTGAAGGAAGGATATAAGTGGAATTGTAAAAGTTGTCTGCAGAGGTGTACAGTAGAAGAGGGAGGGTTAGTTGTGACTTACTGCAGTACAGTAGAAGAGGGAGGGTGAGTTGTGACTTACTGCAGCAATGGCCTTTGTCGAGTTGTCTTTTGGAGATGGGAGGTTGCGTTCCATCAAGCATTGTGAATCTGGGCTTTTATGTGATCTGACTGCTGAGGATGTCCCTTTGATGGGCTTTTATGTCCTTTTTCTTAGGCTCAGATCAGTTACAACTTTTATTTTGTTTCTTTAGGCAGGAGTGGGTGCTATTGGGTGGAAATTCAGGATTGTATTTTTCTTTGAGTGTGTGAGTAAAAATGGAAGTTATGTGCAGAGCCTGGCCACAGTTGATGGAATTTTAATTCAGTCTTAGGTTTTGGAGCATTCACATCCAGCCATTGGTGGAAATTAGTGTAGCATGAATCAGAAGAAGATCTTGTTTTAGGAAGAATGTAACATGATGAATTAGCACCAACTGGCCAGGTTACATTTTGCACATCTCACAAGACTTATACAACATCTTTGACATGAGCATAGATTACATCTAAGTCAAGGCAGCCAACAAATTTTTGTAATAAAACAAGTACCCCAACAAAATAGGTTTTAAAAACCTGCCACTTAAGTTTAAAGTTATCAAAAATGTAGCAGAAGATGTAACCTGAATACATTTGTACACCTAAAAATGTAAGCCAACACACAAAGGTATAAACACTATATGAATTAATTCCATTTAGTGTGGTGTAATGGATAACAACTTGGAATGAGAAATTAGGGAGCCAAGTTCAAAATCCAGTCAGGTTTGTTACATTCATTTACGTGCAAATACTCTTGGGAAAGGTATGACTCCATCTCTTCTCCCTCTAGCTATTGGTTGAATAGCAGGACAGACTGGGTCCAATAGCCTTGGTTGGCAAGCAGCCTACTGCAGAAAGAAACAGCAACCTTCTGTGGGAAAATTTTCTGCCAAGTAAGTCATAAATTGAAAGAAACATGATTACTCAAGTGCATATCACATATGGCACTTAACTGAGTCATGATACAGGTAACTGGATTTTTTTACAATAATATTCACCCTGTACAAGTCCCAAGAGCCACTCAAGATAGAGTGTTATAGAGTAAAAGTAATGACAGAACATTTTGTTTTTACTCTTATTATTAAGTTTTCACATTTGACTTTAAATATATTGTTTGCAATTATTACTATGTAGTACGTCTGAAAAAAAAGTTTACTACTCAACAATGATAAAAAAGCAATCCCCATTTTGTGTCCAGAAAATTTTATATTAATATTTCTTACCCATGCCATAAAATATGATGCTATATTTTCTGTTCCTGACTATCTTCCTCTCTTTCAAAAGGACTCTAGTGTCCACATGCATGGCCTTGATGTCTATTTTCTTTTTTAAATCGTTTTATCCCAAGCAAGGCAATAAAGCCACTAGGACTCAAGAGGTTACTGAGTGTTAAAGAATATGAGAAAAAACTACTTAACTACTAAGGAGAGAGGACAATAAAGGAATAAGAAGACAGAAGATAACAATTAAATTGCATTTAAAGTTTTGAAGATCAGAGTTGACTGGGAAACAAGAAGCTGGAAGAGAGTTCCATATGTGAGAAGTATGATTGAAGAAACTGTTAGCATAAAACTTACAGTTACATCTATCCAACTCGACTGTAAATTGATGAGACCTTGTCACCAATCTAGTACTGCATATATATTCATAAAGTCTACGTATAATAGTGGAAAGTTCGTCAAAACAATTACCATCAAAGTATTTATAAAAAAGGCACAGGGAAGCTACATTACATTGGTGGGAAAGGGACTGAAGCTGAGATGACAGGTCAGAAGCAATGACATTGCAGATTCTTCTTGGGATTTTATCAAGAATCTCTAAATATATAGCAGAAGAACCAGACCAGATTTGGCAGAAATATTAAAGGAAGGATGAAAAGTAGACTTGTAGCTACATGAGATAGATTCAGGGGAGATAAATTGTCTAGCACAAAATAATGAACCAACTTTCTCAGCTGCAGACTTAGCAATTGATTCAATATACTCTTTCCACTTCATGTCATTCTAAAAACATTAGTCCAAGAAGGTGCAATGAGTCACTCTCCTGGAGGTTAGCATCAGCCATGCTGATGGAAGGTAAAAAGAAGTCTCTCAGATGATTAAAAGAGTGTGGTTTCACTTTTGAGGGATTAAAATTAACAAGCCACTCCTTGCTCGATTTAACAACAGATTGTAGGTCATTTTTGAGATCATTTGCCAATTTGACTTTATCGAACTGATCAGACTTACTATTAAAATAGGAGTAAATAGTTGTATCATCAACATAGGTACTGAGTTGAGAAATGATGACATTAGGAAGATCATTGATGAAAATTAGAAACAATGTAGGGCCAAGGATAGAGCCCTGGGGAACACCTGAATTAATGCAAAAGATCTAGAACAATAGTCATTCAAGTTAACTTTCATTTCGCAATTTGATAAGAAAGACTGAATCAGTTAAAAAATTTGTCCACAAATACCATAACCTTACAACTTGTGAAAATGACCAGTATGACAAACTCTGTCAAATGCTTTTGAGATGTCCAAAGCAACAGCCTGAGCTTCACCATTCTTATATAAAGATTGTTAGATTCCTTCAACAA